ATGCAGAAGCCGTAAAATTGATTCCGAAAGAATGTCGAAGAGAAAAGACTGCAGCCAACTCAAAAATAAATGTAAAAAGAACATAAAAAATAGCACATCTATTCACATCTTTAAGCGGCCCATTTTTCTTTCACGCTGAAACAGCCTCCCAAAATTGAAAAGAAAATGTTTGTAATAACGAGCATAGAATATTTGTAACGTACAAGATATGATTGACGAGAGGAATATTGTTTTCGCATTCTCGAAATAATCATGATCCCGTTTCTCCTAATATCTGTTTTTATATCTGCTTTATTCTAAGCTGCAAAATTATCGTGGAAAGGGGGAGGGGTCCTCCCACAGATTTAATCGAAGACAAATGCTTGCGCAATTCATTAAGGTCTAAGTCTAGGTGGCGCAATATGCCGCCTAATTCAAAGGGTAGCGCAACCCTGCATAGGCAACTCTAATAACTCGGACTTGAACGGTACTCATTGCAGGTATTCAAATGATCTGTAATTGATTACTTTCTGGAGTGATTTTGTAATTATTTAATTACCTTTATTAGGAGGTAATCGCAAGAGTAACCTGACTAATTTTTGAACTACTAAAATGACAGAAGGGACGAAGAAACGCTAGGGCTAGGTGGCGCAAGCTGCGGTCCGTTACAAAGGATATAGCCATTATCATCCATTCATCCATTCATCCATTCATGGTAATGGTTACTATTTTCCCCCACACCTTTCTATAATGGCTCCCTTGTTTGTACAAATCTCCCTAGCAAGAAATCCTCGAATCAAGTCTCCTACAGGAGGTCCATGGTTTACCAGAAATTGGTGGATTAGAAGAAAATTAGCTTATACTTCGGCGACTTTAATCCAATATTGGACAGTACTAAAGACCCCCTTTTAAAGCGGCAGCAAAATCGGTCGTTTTGAAAATTTGAAGTATAGTCGGGAAGGTAACGGTCATTTTCTTCGAATAACGACCGATTACTTTTCTTTTCAGCTAACCAATGAATCTGATGGAATACTTTTTAATCAAAAGAAATCGCAATTGTAATCGATATACTTTTTTTTTCTTCTTTCGAGTAACCTGTACGAGGCTGCAATAATCAAATTCTGCCACGCTGCCATTTTTTTTTTTCTTTCACTAAACTGTCGAAGGCGTTTTCAGCGCGCGCAGGAAATCTTTTCTGCGAGATGTCAGACGCCATCCATGCGTCTAAAGCCCGGTGGTGACTCGGCATTTTTCGCCGGGTGATAAGTGGTGGCGAGGGTACAAGAACAAGTCAGACAGAGCGTCCTTGCTGGGTCTGGATTTCCATCGACTTCGTGGAACACCAAAATGGCGGACGTATACGTGTGGGTAATTTTACGAGCGTTAAAGAGACCGCATGCACAAACTCTCGAGGTTCACGCTGCTTCAGCGCAACACCTGGTGAAAAGCGTAAACCTAAAACGCAATCTTAAAAAAAAATAATAATAATAATAAATAAATAAATAAGTGTCGGTAACGGGTTGGTCAATTTCTACCACTCCAGAACATTGATGTCTGTGAATATCTCGCCAACGTTGCCAGTAAAAATCTAACAAGGAGGTATGCTTCCTCCGAATTGGATCATTGAAAACGTCAACAGAAACTGTCAAGTACTCCAGTGTGAGCTGGATTTTACTCTCGAAAAACGAGAGAGAAGTACGTTTTGCTTATTTCCGAATTAAATGCCCGAGGCAAATATAGGCAATATCCGTATAATGGCTCCTTCGGAATTTCACTGTTTCTTTTTTTTTTTTTTTTTTTTTTTAGGTGTCCAAAAACATTATACGCACGTAATGCGCACAAGAGAAGAAAAACACAAGCATACGCATGGCAATAGATTACGTACTGTTGTCGTCCTTTTTGTCGTTGTCTCTGCCTGTTTTTTGTAATATTACCGGAACGTTAAAATTTGTCGATTCCGTACATAATATCAGGGAATGTTTAGTTTTGCTTCTTCTTCATTCCCCTTCCTTAACCTAGCGGGGCGCACCCGACAGGTTACCCGCTCACACCAGGAGTAGCCATTCCGCCGTTGACCATGAGCTCACAGCATATGAAATCACCGTCTCTATAGCGTCCGGACTCCACATATACGCACAGAGTATTTGGTCGCAAAAAAGACACAAGTTAAGTGATAATTACTAGTTTCAACAGCCGTTATCCGTTAATGTGCTGAAAACTTCAATCAACACTTACAGCTTGTTTGTTCATTGCGATATTTGTTTCTTCCAATTTCTTTCTTGAAGTAGAAAATACTCCTATTCAACTCGAGCCTTGCCTTTAATCCGGCCACATGTAGCTGCGAACATCTTGTTTTTATGTAATGAGTAGCTGAACAGCAGATGTGGTGTTGTTTGGATAAAATACCCCGTGACATATTTGAGACTAAACAGCCGTTGTCGTGATGCCACACACTCGTAGATAGACGGTAGCGCGCGCCTGAATCGCAGCTGAAAGCGTGTAGTGTCTACTGAAAACCAATGCATCAAAACCTGGTATGTTTCCGTTAGAAGCCAATATACAAAGCTTCTATATAAACCACAAATGGTCACTTTGCCGCGTAAAAAACCCGTCCAGCTTATTGGAAAGGGTCTAAATAGGAACTGAGTTTATATAAATTCAACGAGAATCAGGCGCGTCAAGTTCAAGGACCGTTCTCAAAGGCTCGTCTATAACGTGCTTGACTAGCAATTAAAGAATCTACTACAGCGACATTCGGTGCCTTCTTGAAGTGGCTGGCGTCAACTACAAGCAGTTTGAAGCTGGAACGAACCGCCGGCAGTTGGCAACGTGCAACATTCACAGTTAATTGCTTCGTAACGCGAGCGAAGTGTAGTGCCCAAGTTCTGTTGCAATTTCAGTTTCGCTCTTCTGGGACAATCCCTACTAAAGTGAACAAAGGTGCGGGGGATCGCTGGTCAAATGTGTGTTGACGCACTACACAGGTTGGAACACGTGGAGCGAAAGCCCGCGCTGCGGAACTCAAAGATCCTGGGCTCGATCCACGCCACTGCTTGCGTGCGGTCGTGTATCACTACAGTGTGACGCAGAGACCCCGTAACTGTACAACAGTGGCTAGATTTCTCACGTTCGGCGGAGACACCACAAACCCGCAGACTAACTTCTCGCTGTCCAAGCGTAAACGCAACGCAATTATTTGAGTAACGATGCAAGTTTCAAAACGGGACTTTAGCGAGCTTTGCTGACGCAAAACCTATAGATCTATTCCACACAGCGCGTTTTAATATCCCGAGATTACGAATTTATTGATCGATGGTGCTATTTATTCTCCTCCACAGCAATCGCGCGTGATGACCACGTGATACGCTTGCGTCTGAAATGTGCGAGCTATCACATGATCGCCTTATACCGCGTTCATCACGCCAGTGTTAATTCACTTCAGGGATTGATGTGTTTCGGAAACTCCCGAGTCCCAAATCTGATGTACCGAGAAAATATGCGATTCGAACGTGGACTCAAAACACGCCCTCACAAATAGACAAAAAAATAAATAATAAAAAAAAATTCTGTGTGCTGCCTTCTCGGTAATTCCGAGCATGTTATACTGTCTATATATCCACACTAGGAGATATAAGTCGGCTTGGGGGGGGGGGGGGGGGGGGGTTTTAACGTTGACGAGCACGTTACTTCAACCACGTTGTATGATCTCCAGATTATTGACACTCCAAAACGTCTAAGTGACGATCGTTCTATCTTGCGCTCCACCGCTCCCCCCCCCCCCCCCCCCCCCCCCCGCACAAACAAAATACGAGCTATGCCCTAAACATCCCTCAGCCTTGGCTAATGATATAAATTTGGCAGTATTATCTGTTGTCGACATAATCAGGATTAGCTATTGAAGTTCAATTTCTGAATATACTAAGAGTATTGAACCACTCTCAGGGGAAAAAAGAATATGCGTGTATACAGTAGAGGCCTATTCACACATGCAGCGGAGCGCTACAAGCATAGCGCTGACCTCGCGCTAAGCTCGTGCTGACGGGAGCGTCCACCAGCCTTGTATCGCACCGTCGAAACTGTAGCTCATGGAAGACAAAAAGTAGCTCACGACACGTGAGCAGCGCGACATGAGCGCTCCGCTGCATGTGGGAACCGGCATTAATTCACGCGGATACCAACCATCGAATTCGAGAGTCAAGGGCCTGATTAAACTTATCGCGAGGCAGAGGACGTAGAAGATGGCTGCTGCACTTTGAGCCACTCAACTCTTGCAACAGGAAGGGTAATATGTGGTAAAATGTCTGAGCAAAAGCAGAACGAACGACGTGACCGCTCCTTGAAATTGGTTTAGTTCCGCGACGGACGATCCAATCTTAAACTTATCACCAAACTTCAGGTACGATTATATGATTGCACATATCCCCCACTGCTTAGGAGAGTGCGCTCGGCCTCAACTTTAGCTGCCGTACCACGTATTATTCTCAAAACGTTGGGTATCTGGATGAGATTTCAGTAAGCAACTTGTTCGAGACACTTACGTTTGTAAGCTGCATTGCCAGACGCGATTTAAGGCATATGAGAAAATGCGCGTGAAAACAGAATGGACAATGATCTTGAACACGGCCGATGCCTTTTCTGCCCGATCTACGAGTTCGCGAGAGTTCGCTCGTATATATATGGATAGGGGAGTCGAGACTAAAGCATATTATAATCATTTTCCATTCCCAAAATGCGTGAGACGCAAGTTTCGCACCTGCAACGCTAAATTCCACGAGCCTTCCATAACTCGTGGCGACTGGGCAAGACAGACCAGGGTCGTGCACATATCACGCTGTGCCAGCCAAGCGCCAAAACATCACTCTTGGCGGCAACGACAAGCTTCGCCGAACCACGGGGACGGCCATTTAAAATGGCGAGCATCCGCACCAGAGTCTAGTGACCGTAGTCAAGTCCGCACCACAGGACAGACTCGCCCACACCTCCTCCTCCTCCAAAAAAGAACGACACAGTCGAGCCTAGCGTAATCGAAGACCTTTTTTTTTTTGTCCTTTATTTTTGTAATGTCGCATCGTTCAATGTGACAGTGAAAGTGCGCTTATGTACAAATGGTTATTTTCCTCGGGTCTTACACGTGACAACAGGAAAAAAAAAAAAAAAAAAGATTTACAGGTACGAGTCCCCAAAAACAAACACAGCACACGGATTGCGGCGCCAACGGCGAAGTGTCCTTGCACACGGCCGAGGGCTGAAGGGTTGGGGGGGCAACCTTGCGCGACACGGGGACCACGGGCTCTCGCCAGGACGATTTTTGCGCGTCGCCTCAATACCCGGGTCCCACCGCGTACCCCCACATTCTGTCAAGAATCCTAGCCGACCGACGCACAGTCCCAAAACTGCTCGCTCCTATTTTTTCGCTGACTCATCAGGGGGGTGCTGCTGCTGGCTGCGGCGGCCGCGCGCGCCGTGGGTCCCGGCTGCGTCTCTATTTCACTGTACAGGGCTCGCCAAATAACTTAGGGGCTCTTTGGTGGGCTGTCCGCACTCACCTGTGCGGGGATGTGCGTGGCGAGAGCGCTACTGCATCTCTGCTTGCTGCTGCTGTTGCTGGTAGTGGGCCTGCATGGCGAGCCGGTGGTCTTGCGCATCACCGCCCTGCGGCAAGTACATGGAGATCATGTCCCTGAGGTCTGGCGTGCAGCCGGCCCGTCTGGGGTTGCCCGGCGATCCCTGGGGCGGCGTGGGACTCGACTCGGCGGACGACTTGAGCTGCATCTGCGGCATGGAGGCGTAGTGGCCGGCCGAGGCGTACGAGCCGTTCACGTAGGGCAGCTGGGGGTCGTAGCGCGGGTAGGCGCCGTGCATCTGCGAGCCGTAGCCCTGGTAGGCGTCGTGCATCATGGCTGCCGCGGCGGCGGGAGGGTAGCCGTTGGGCATGTAGCCGTTCATCGGGTACATGTCTCGGGCCACCTGCGGCGCGCTGTTTGGGCGCGTCGCGTCGCCGGACAGCAAGCCCCCGGCCAACGGGTACTTGTCCTTCTTGAGCAGGGTCTTCGTCTTCCTCCGGGGCCTGTACTTGTAGTCCGGGTGCTCTTTCATGTGCACCGCGCGCAGCCGCTTGGCCTCGTCGATGAAGGGCCGCTTCTCGGCCTCCGAGAGCAGCTTCCACTCGGCGCCCAGCCGCTTGGAGATCTCCGAGTTGTGCATCTTGGGGTTCTCCTGGGCCATCTTGCGCCGCTGGCCCCGGGACCAGACCATGAAGGCGTTCATGGGCCGCTTCACGCGGTCCAGGTCCTTCTTGCTTCCGCCGCCGTGGCCGCCGTGGCCTCCGCCGGCCTGGCCGGGGTGCTGGGCTCCGTGCGGGCCGCCGCCGTGGTGGCCCACCAGGCTCGTGGGCCCCAGCTGCTGCGGCGGGCTGGAGGACACCACGGGCTTGATGTCTTCGACGGGCTGGTGGGGCGGGGGGCCCCCGTACGGGAAGGCGGCCGCGTACTCGCGCTCAAGCGACGCCAGCGCGGCCGGACTCGCCTGCTGTCGGTGGTCGGCGCCGCTCGAGCACAGCTGGCAGGGACAGGCAGCCGGGGAGGGTCGCAGTTCGGCCGCATCGTGCTGCCACGCGGCGCGCGGCCACGCCGACGTCGACGTCGAGGCCACCGCGAGGCTGGGGCACACACCGGTCCGGGGTTTCACGAGGACGGCACTCTCGACGGACGCGGGACGGTTGACGCGATCCGACGGGCTGGACCGCAGGGCTGCGTGTGAGCGCTATCGGGCGAGCGGCCGGCGTTCGGCACGCTCGCCCGCGGGGCCAATGGCGCTGGCCAGGCCGCCATTGGACGCGGCCTCCTCGCTGCGGAGGGCAGGCCCCGCCCGCAGGGACGCCTCGCCCCACACCCTCCGCTGCCGCACTCGTCCGCCGCTGTCGCTGGAAAAGGCGCTGCTGCCAGCAAACAGCTTTCGCTCGGCCCTGCCAGATAAACGCCTTGTTGTTGTCGTTCTGCTCGTGGAAGCGCGAGGGATGGGGTTTCTTGTTTGTTCGTTTGTCGCTCTGTCCGCTGAAAGTCCGATGCGTAACATGCGAAGTCCCGGAGCAGATAGCGGCCGGTTGTTATGAAAGTCCGATGACATCTACCTCACAGACTGCAATGAGACATTCAGAGGACGTCCACCCTAAAGTGACAAGCGCCGTTCCTACTAATTTACTTTCTTACCAGTTCACGCATTCACTCTACATCCACACTCTCTATTCACGCAAAACGCAACTGTCTTATTATTATTTACTTTTTTTTTCAACTGAGACCGTTGAAGTTTTACGCGGTCGAAGGAACCAGAGATAAAACAACAGCAACACGACAGAAGCAGAACTTGTACCCCGCCCCAGTGTCCTAAATTTTAAGCGTTAACCCACAAACTAGTTACGCACGACCTCGACTATATTAGAATAAAATGAAACGGTACCCGAAGTACCCTTCAGCGAAACGATAGCCATTGCACAATAAAATCAAGCCGCGTATCACCCCCCTCCTGGTAATCGACGCCAATGCCAACAATGCGCTTCAAAGAGAGGCCCCCGCACGCACGCAAAGAGACCGTCCGCGTTTATTTGACTACACGCAAATTGACACGCGCTCGACGCCGGCCGCCGGGATTAGCACCACCAAAGGGGGGCACTTCACCGCTATGGCAGCGCCACACTGCGACAACGAGTGGCGCAGGGCGGTGTCTCTCACAATGCACCGCTCCGGCCTTTGCCGATCTTTAGAGCAGAGTATAAAGTCCAACGTTTCGATAAAGCGCCCCGATGAAAGAATTCAATGGAGGCAAAATTTGCACAGGGGTGGGTGGGTGATTCTTTCTGTTCTCCGTTTCAGCATCACTTGGCAAACGGCCGAGGCTTACCTCCTCAGTGAGCCAATCGGCGTGTCGGAGCGAGGCACGTATCCACGTATCGTCGCACTACTCCCCCCGGCTGCGGAGAGCGGTCACGTGCTCGGCTCCGTTGGATCTGATTGGCTGGAACGGGCCCTTTAGGCTTCGCTCTTTGCCAAGTTGTGGTGTGAAACGCCGAGCGTTTACTGAAGAGGAGGGAGGGACGTGGAAAGGGGAAAGGGGGGATGGACTTAAACGTGATCTTAACAACGCGCTCGAACCCAACGAACTTGACCGAGCGTCGGTCCGCGCTCGACGCAATGGGGAAAAATATCGCGTCGAGAAAAAGATTCGGAACCGCCAGCGCCGCTCAAAAGGAACAGCCGTGAAAAGGGGGTTGTACAATGACGAACTCGTCGTCGCCGCCGTCGTCTCCACAACCATTGCATCCCCTCTCTCGCTCGAGGCGCCTTTGAGCTCCGGAGCAAAAATGGGTCTACCGCCGCTCTATGCGCTATCGAAATCGCTGAACATACGTTCCCTTTTCTATTCGCGGATTCTATACTAAGGTGTACACTTTCTCTCTTGTGAGGGCTTCTATAGGACGGGTTATTTGAGCTTGCGCGATGACGCGCCTCGTGAGCCACGCGTTTTTTCGACATTGAGAGTGCGCCAGTGGCGTTAAGAAGAAAGGAGAGGCGGGGGTATCCCCCGTGACGTCACGAGCGGCCCATCATGCTCTTTGACGCGCTGCCTTGCGTTACGAGGGCTAGAGCCGTTTTTGTGATGATGCAGATTATGGTTTTCAATGGGCTCCGTCTGTGTGTGGACTCTTTGGAGACGCGGCGTAGTGTATTTAGGCTGTATACAATGCGCCCGGCGTGCCATTGAGCCTGCCTTGGTTTTGTGTGTTGGAGTGAGAGGTCGTGGTTGAAAGGGGCAAAAGAGTTCTTTTTGGGAGCGGTATTATTTACGGAAATGGGATTCCTTTCTCGTTTTCAAAGCTTTTTCTTATGTTGTTATTACGGCTATCGGCGCTGTTTCCTGGTGGGAACCTGTTCGTGGAATTCCAAAACCCTGGTTTTGATACAGGTGCGCTGTTTGTTCGTTTTGTTTATTTTAATTACTCCTGAATTGTTTATGTTTGCGATATATATATATATATATACCGGACCACCTGCAGCGATCGTCGCGGTTGCTGTAAACGAACCAAGAGTAAAAAAAAAAAAAAAAAAGTCTTAGAGAAACGAAAGAATTACTCGGGCTGTTGCAATCCCCTTGCAATTTGTTCTTTTCTTTTAACAAAACTTGCCGTTATAGAGGTCGCTTCGTCTCAATTCAGTCATGAAAACGGACTCTTTGAGAAACGACGTCATTTAAAATACGCCACATGAGATTGGTAAAACTTTTGCTCGAACGTGAAACTTTTTGCTTTAAAATTTCCTCGTCTTTCGTTACAACGCGTGCACGCGGTTTCAAATCACCGTGAATAAGTTAAAAAAATTGCAATATTTGTTATTTTTAGTGCCTCCCGGAGCATCAGATTCGGGATACTTTGCTGAGCAGATGCACGCGTCTGAAAAGCACACACCTCCATAAACTTGCACTATAGACCCTGGACGTGAAAGTTGCTGCGTCCCGTGCATTGGGACCAGTACTTAGTTCATTCAAGACTGACGGTTGGTAATGTCGCCACTCGTAACATTTGTCTCTACGACTGAATTTGTTTAGCCAGGAGCAAGATGATGAACGCTTACAGACGTCAACATAATTCACTATGTGGCACAAAAAAAGAAAAAAAAATATTGTAACGTATGTTTTTTAAAGTTTTTTTTCCTTTTGTTACTGCAGTGAGGTTAATACTTTCTCAAACTTAGCTCGAGAGTTTTGCCCAATTTACAAAAACTTAGTTATGAATGGACCTTTTCCGAGAAGCGTTCTGCGCACGCGCGAGCGCCCGATGCCAAGCGGTAGAAGTCGGCACGAAAAATCGAGGAAATTCGGAATGAGGCTGCAGATCGACGAGTAGAGCACGTAATTGAAGCATATATATAATTGTGTTACACAAAAAAAGAAAGTGGACGGAAAGAAAATCACGACGTTTGGGTGAACGCCACGGATTCCCCTCTTTATAAAGTCGCGTTCGGCACGCGACGCAGCTCAGAGAGCGAAGAAACTGGTAGCGTAGCTCCCATTATCGATTGGTAGTGCAGGTAGGTCACTTCCTCGATATTTAGTTCGTGCAGCCACCGCCTGGTGCCGTCAGTATTTGGAAAAGGTCCATTATCCTCCCAACTGTATCTCTCCCTGTCATGTTATGGCGCCCGGAGTGCGTCTCCGATTGGTCTATTTACCGCGTCCTGAAAAGTGGTCCTTCGATTTGCACCTGATGATGCCATAAAAAGTGTCATCCGGTTGCTTTGGCGATACTGGCGCTGGCGCAGCCACACGAAGGTGTCTACGGCAGACGTCCGTCCTGCTGCGAGCCTTCTTTTGCAGTCAGACAGTCGAAGGAAGAAGAGCCGACGCGAGTTGGGGCGCCGCGACGACAGCGACAGCTTCGTTCGTCCTTTTGGCCTGCATCTCTCCAGTTGCGAGTAGCGCTCCTGGCGAGCAAATCGAATGTCTTTAGGTCGCATTTCCGCTGTGAGTCGCAATACGTCCTTTCAAACGCTCCATTAGTGCCCGTAAAGAAGCGCCGAGAGACGCAGAGAGACACTATGCGGAGCGGGAGTCGATCGTCTGCTTCTTTTGCAGGGGTTGTGGTGACGTCAGAACGGCGAGCTCCGATTGGCTCTGATCGAAAGATAGTGGGTAGACCGTGAAGTCTACCCACTATATATCCTTCAATCAGAACCAATCAGAGCACGGCATCCTTCTGACGTCACCGCGACCCCCCAAAAGAAGCAGTCGAGCTTGCGCTCCGCATAGTTTACGCTCGTATACGATCGTGAATGATGGGACGCGAAGGCACTGCTTCACAGCCGCATTAAATGGTCGAATCTTGACTCTCGTGGGTGCTACGGCGACCTTTGGCCGAGAGAAACAGGCCTATTTCTATGACCAACTGCCAGGATCAGGAAATCCGACAGCACGGCACGGCGGTTCTTGTCACGCAATTTGTCGTCACAATTAGTGATCACCTTCGATGCTCGGGTGCAGTAAGAAGCTAAAAACAACTGTCAAAGACGATGATCGTTGCTGTCAGCCTGCCTTTTGAACCGAGGAGTATCGAACCGGAGACACCAATGTAAATTAAACTTTCAATAATTTTCTTTAAGTGGGAATCGTACCCCAGCCCTCGATGGTGCCAATTAGTGACGTGAAGTGAAATTTATTTGAATTACTTTTGCATTTGGAATGCATAAATGACAATGAATTACGCTCCCGATTGATTCACAACTGGGCGTTATGCTGCAAAAATTATACTATAGTAGATCCCAAGCTAGCATCCGACCCCATTTTTCTAACTGCCGTTGGATTCATTGCCAGTTTTCTACTTGAAATATGACTTCAGTATAAGCGGAAATTAACGCGAAATAAAACCGTTATTATTATTTCTGAAGACTACGAGAGCCCTGCTCAACAAACACTGCAATACAAAGTGCTACTGCCGAGAAAGCTCAATACTGGATCCTTGGCCATGAATGGACCTGTCATTTAACAATAAAACTCCGACGGCGAGAGTAACAAAAAACTTACCGAAATCCCGTTGGTAATTGTTTCCCTCTTGCTCCGGGTACACACAGGACTCTCATGCCTCCTTGTCAATAGGCCGACTCGTTCTATTCCCAGCATTCTGGAACATTCATTTCAGATAATTAAGCATGATAAATAAAAACGGTTTCCATCAAACAATGAAGAAAACAAAATGTATCGCAATATTCCCGGGAATGATTAAAGAAGACATTATTACAATACTAATAAATACTGATAAGAAACTGAGGAACGTGTACTTTTTTTTTTTCTAAGACTGATATATTCATTTTTTGAAAATTTTGTAGCGAGGAAACGTAA